GGTACAAAACCTTGTCGAAACGTTGTACATTTGCTGTTATGTTAAATTTATATTGAAGTTTTTCTTCATTACCCATTAAAGTCGTCTCCAGCCATTATTAGTCTCAAAGTGGGTTCCTCGTCACCGAATTAGAACTCTCGACAAGTTCCTTACAGCTAGATTATTAGTTTAATTCAGCGCTACGTCTCTAGAAAGTACATTACAATATCAGTCTAAATATAATCCAGCAATCTAAAGTTTTCTTTTATTAACTAATTGTCTCCGTTTTTGTTTTTAAATAGCATATGTTGAAATAATGTATCCTGGTTTCCTTAGTTGAATTCCTCTCTCGCTGTTGATATAACGAACATGTTTATACATCTGAACATAAATGTATACAAGTAACTGGAAGCATAAGTTTAATAACTGGCTGCCGAAGATCCGTCTGAGAATAATATGTAATGATTATCTAGTTTCTACATATACATATTTTATCACAAATGATAAAATGTTTTGTTTTTGTCGCAAACAACAACAAAAAAGCGGTAGAGGATGTCCGTTCAGCAGCAAGATGCGACAACGCCCCTTAGTGTATGTTTATATGCCACCCGTTAGTTTCTACACTACTTGTTTGTCATAACTGAGTGGATTCATACTTATACACGTGATGTATATGTACATGTAATTAGTACTAGAGTATGTCTGCGTGCAGTCGTTAAATCGGATGCACGTTTTGAAGGCCGTTCCTCAGTGCATCCGTTTATATTACGTCACCAACGTACTTCCGGCGGATTATTGTTTTCTTCTTTTTTAGATTCTGTAAAAATATACATGTTTTAATGAATATACTAAGACTTTCCTTTTTCTATTCTGATGTTGAAAACCATCACCCTTTCTGTCCTAGTACGTATAATTCAGTGACGTCATTACTTAGTGCCGTCCCCATACTGATAATTTCTTTTCAAAACGTACAATGATAAAAGTCTTGTCGGGACACATATATATGTACTCTTTTGGGCTTAAACATGAACAGCTCAAGTTAATAATGTCAATACCGATCCAAGTTTCGAGCACAACATTATTTGATAAGAAATCAGGACTTCATTCATAGCATCCATATCCTCTTGAAATGAGTTAGAAAAACTACATTTTTAAACCTTCGAACTTAAAACTATTGAGAACGAGAGCTAAAATTCATTTTCCACGCCTTGCTAGAATTATAACGTTTGTGCTCAACAAATAAGTTTGTAAAAAGAGGAGAAAAAGCTGTTACATATTAGATGTAACCGCACACCAGAGAATTTATAGTTTGCCAATCCCTCATTAATGAGACGACACCTAATTTTCATTCTGAGTTTGCAAGGTAGTTGTTATGTATGTGTGTGTGCGTGTTTTTCTTATAGTAAAGCCACATCCGGTTATCTGCTGTGTCCACCGAGTAGAATCGAACCCCTGATTTTAGCGTTGTAAACCCGAAGACTTACCACTGTCCCACCAGGGGACGGTAGTTATTAAATATGTAAAAATTATTCTTGAATTTTCCTAATGTTAACAAAACTGAAATTAGTTAAGGATTATAGGTTCTGTTTTTTGCCCGAAACAATAGCAAACAACACACATCGTATTTTTGTCCAAATCTAATCTTAAACTGTGAAGTACTTCATAAAATTATTAAAACAATAATATGGTAATGAACATTAACTAGGTGCATATAAATAGATCAAGAATTAATTAAATAGTGTATAATGTCACTTTGAAATTACTAAAAGAAAGAATGAAAATAAGTTACTACACTCATGAAAGAAATTAAAATGTATACCTCAAATACATACCAACGTTAATTCATCGTTACTTACTTTACTATCAGAACCAATATTTTGTTTACGTAAAACCACAATATAACTACGTTTATTAAGTATTTTACGTATTGATAATTTTAATAATCACTAATTCCTGACAAATCATTTATTATTGAATAAAAATTATATCCGAATATTGTATTTCCATCTACGTGTTCATACGTGAATTAATTTTTTAAAGCCGCGTTTTGTTGTTTTCATAATTAAACTGTAAATTGCAACAGTCTATGAAATGACAAATTTATATTTTGAATTCGTGATGTTTGGTTCTGTATAAACACAGCTGAAAACGTTTATTAATTTAAACATTACGTCGTTAGTTTTTCCACCTATGTTAGTTAAATGGACTCTTGTACATCACGAACTAAACTACGAAACAAACAAGTACGTTTGTCCTCTTGGCAAAGATTCACGCCTTTTTGTTTTATTGGGGAAAAGACAGTGAAACTTTTTTAAATACATAATTTTTTCACTTAAACACCACCATATACGTTTATAAGATCTGCATTTAATTTTTTTTATAAATTTATTGAATACATTTTACAACTAGATATTGACTATTATCAATGAAAAACATTGGTAATAACTCATATGTCAAATATTATATTTATCTGTCTCTTTAAGGAATGTTTTTTTTTTTCCAAAATAAAAGTTATACGTTTAATCTTGACAAGAATAAAACTTTTAATTAAATATATATAATATTAGGTCCACTCCAACCTCTGCAGGAAGACGAAAGGACTAAGGCACATTTCTCGATACACATATTCTGAAAATAACCAAACAAAATCTTGTGCGACATAAAAACTCGGGCAGACTTGTGCCTCTCAAAGTTTAAGAGAACATCGAATCCTCGATGTCATTAGAACATTAAATTATCTTGCCAGTTTCGTTACTTGACCTATCCTTGCCAAGACATGTTTACAAATCACTTAACTCAACATACGTTATAGTCATTAAATATGAGCATTTATAATTTGAAAATGACCCCTAGGGCATATTTTAAAATAAATAACTTAAATACATGATACATGAACGGTACGACGTAGCTTACTCTACTACAAACAAGGTTTAAAACCGAATGAATACAAGAGTAATACATTGTCATAGGCCTAACTTAACTATTTATCAAAATAGACGACTTAATAAACGGCCACATCTATTACAAAATCAACACATGTGAAAGTATTATCGTAACCTGCATCCATAAATACGATTAAGCCTATGCCTCATGCACAGCAAGTAGTAATTAACTGTCAGGAAAAAAACAAAACACGAAAGGCATCAAAAGATAAATGTGACTATGAAAATGAATACACTACCAAATCAAGGTGGCGAATGTTATGTGACTTATTACATTACAGTGCAAAAAGCATTAGAATGAATAATTTACAAATGCGTTACAAATAAATAAATCCTTTGTCTGATTAGATTCTTCGTAAAATACAAACATCTAACTCCATAACAAAGTAGCTATGTTTACACTTTTGACTCGTGTTTGAGATAACTTTAAATTAAAACTTGGTTATTCAATATGATACATGTAGCTTAGGAAAATTATAGAAAATTACAGTTAAATGTTTATCAGGTTGGTCCCAATAATAAGTGGAATTGAGCAGTAATGTTAGTCTTATTCACACATGTAAACGGTCTTTTAATCTTAGTCCAAGATCGACAGCTTGCTGAAAATAGGCAACCGAGGAAGGTTGCGACTTACATCCAACGGAGAGCTGCACGTGGCTCCCCTGGGGCTACCGCCCAAGCTGAAGCTGTCCAACTCTGAACTCAAAGAATCTACAGGCGACGGTGGGGCATGGCCAGGCGAATTCAAAGCTTCATAGAATACAGTATTATCTACTATACTATCACCCAAACCATTAACAGTGTAAGCAGCGACAGGATGGAGGCTTGGCTGGGAACCGCCAAATGTAGACAAAGTGGTTTCTTGTTTCACAGGAGACATCAAAGAGGTGAAATCCTGAGAGAAAGAAAAAGCTGTAGCAGTAAGTATTGCTCCTGCAGTGTGAGGAGCAGGGGAAAAGTTTCCTAAAGTATCTTCAGGAAAAAAGCTGTTCAGTGATGTGGGGCTGGCACTTAGACTGGACGGGGGTGATATCTCTCCAGCAGAGCCCAAGCTGAAGCTGCCCAGGGAAAGAGTCTTGGGCCGGTTTGCGACAAGACCTGCTTCAGACGTTCCCGATGACCCTTCAGATCGTTGAAAAGGATGTAGACCCACCTGCAGATTGTTGAACATGTGTTTTCTCGACTCTTCGCTGTTATGGATGAAATGGCACCTTGGTCCATACGGACAAAGTCCCGTGGTGTGGAACGTGCGACAAAGCTCAGTTTTATACTTTGGGTGTCGAGCTAAGGTACGCAGTTCTTGAAAACCATGAGCAAATTGGCACTTATCTCCGTACTTGCAAGTTCCATTTTCTTCAAATGGCCGACAAAGTTCCGTTTTATATCGACTGGAATTGACTTGGTTCAGCTTGGGTTGGGCGACAGGTTCGCTAAGACTGCGGTCCAGTTTTCGATGTTCTTTAGTTGCATAGCAAATAGAATTGTCCATAACATCGATTGTCGAGTGGGTATGTACGTGTATTCCGTTACTAGTGGACTTCTGGCTCATGACCACTGGTTTGGCTGTTGGCGAAATTATACTCGATAAGGCACTAGCAGAGTTACGTCTAGCACTGGCTACATTAAGGGGTGGAGAGATGAGGGGCCTCCTGTCCAGCGGGATTGGCCTTCTGTGCGCCAGGTCGTTGTTCTAAAAGTATAAAGATATAATTAGGTGTTAAGTGTTATTAAATACAAACAACACAACAAGCATTCTCCTAAGCTATGACTGAGTATGAATACCGTTAATCAGTGGCCCCCACTTGTTGATGCGTGCCGATGAATTGCTTACGGCAACACTAGCCTACTGACTACTAGAGGGTGACCTACTTATATTTACTGAGTTAAATGGCCTCCTAACCGGCTATTAACAACAACTTTTAGTCTGAAATTTATGAAATGTTATTTTAGGCTCAAATGTCTTACCTTATAAAACGTCTCCTCCAAATCACAAAATGATACCAACGCCGTAGACATTTTGAAAATCTTTATTTTCAATCCGTGCATCTACCGTTCACCACGCACACTACTGGAAACTCACTCGGAGATCAGTCTTTTCTACACTAGCCAACCACTTATTCGAGGATGACGTTATGATAGGCGGAGTATATTTCTTAAGTGGCCAATCAGCACGAAAGTATGAAACGATGTTGATAAATTTCAAGTAATGACATCACAAGTGTATGAATCATTCGATTGCAAATAGACTAAACATCCTACAAATACACATGCTAAGTGTACCCATGCCAAGAATGCGTTTTTATATATCAAAATGTGTAGTTATTCAGGAAATTTCTATAGAAATTAAAAATATCGAGTTTTAACCCATGTACTAATTAAAGCCCTAAAACTTTTAAATCACTGAACAAACTATTTTGTTATTCTTAGTGTTCAAAACGGATGTTTTACAAAAAGTTACGCAATAATCAATATTAAGGTACATAAAATGTAATTAACTTAAAAATAAACGTATTTGTATTCATTTTTATTGTTTTGTTTACTAAATAACTATGATGGAATACATTTTTATGAAAGTTGTTGCAATAAGAAAAATAAATTCAATCTGATTTTTGACACCAGTTTAAAAGTAGATAATTATGTGCAAAATACAATAAATATCGATATTACATGCATATATAAAGATGAATATATATTCATTGTTACAGCTTACCAAGATCAAACATTGTATTATTCAAACGTAATACTAATCGTTTAAAGCATTATTTAATTTCTGTAGTGTATATTGGTGTATAGAAGACCTTTAACACCAAAATGTTGTTTTTATTTAATTAGACACTCAACGTTTCACTTTACAGTTTCTTCAGGAGAGTTCACTAAAACACAAACCGAAACTAACAGCACGAAACTTCAAGTTTAATAGCTATTTGAAGCTATATACTGGTAGTTTCGGTTTGTGTTTTAGTGAACGCTCCTGAAGAAACTGTATAGTGAAACGTTGAGTGTCTAATTAAATAAAAACAACATTTTGGTGTTATAAGGTCGTTTATTTCTAGTATTAATATCTCGTTTAAAGCATGTTATCGAGATGGTATCAAGTTCAAAACGTTATTCAGAGTAATTTCACTTAAAAAACCACAAAACTTTTAATATTTAAAACAACCCATTAATGTTAAGTGAACCATAGAAACCTCGTTGTTTCATATTTAAAATAGTAAAGATGTGATTGAAAATGATGAACACATTTCGCAAAAAAGTATTTTAAACGTAACAGTTATAGTAGTCTATAGCGCTTGGGTACGCGATAAATAATAAGCTAACAACCACGCATGCGTTCCTCCGTTATTGAAACTGGCCGTGATGTTCTTTGCAGATTGTGTACGAAGCGCTGGCGTCTCTAGTGAGGCAACAGGTTTCCAAAATAGTCACATAATCGTTTCCCGCCACTTTTTAACTGAAATGGTGCTATGTATAGGACAAACAGAAGTAAGACGAGCAGATGTTTAGATTTTTCGAACACGTGCAGCAGAGAAAAGACGGTACCTGTTGCAGAATATTTCCAAAGCCGACTTTTCAGTTTTTCATATTTGTGTTTGTTTTCTTCTTTATTGAACAATAAGCGCTTAAATCTAATATAAAATTAATGACCCTCCCAGAAAATACTAGTTGATAATAATCCATAGTTTTAAATACAGACAATAGGTCTAAATAATCTTTACAAATTACTTTCTTGTTTACAATAGCAAAAATAATAGAATAAACAAATCTCATCAAATATTTATTTTCTTTGATAGTGCCCCCCCCCCCCCCCAGTGGCACAGCGGCATATCTGCGGACTTACAACGGTAGAATCTGGGTTTCGACACCCGTGGTGGGTAGAGCACAGATAGCCCACTGTGTAGCTTTGTGCTTAATTACAAACAAATCTTTGATAGTATACTCCTTAAAAACCCAGATACATTTAAGGAGATTTGTTAAGAACTTATATAAAATTGTTTTTTATTTGTAGTAACAGTAGGCCTAAAAGTCGACATACATGGGTGAGTTAATAATCAGGGATATGTCCATTTGGAGGTTCTAATACTAATAATATGCTTCCCCCAGTGGCACAGCGGTATGTCTGCGGACTTACAAAGCTAGAATCCGGCTTTCGATACTCGTGGTGGGCAGAGTACAAATAGCCAGCCCATTGTGTTGCTTTGTGCATAACTACAAACAAACAAACATATGTTCTTTCGAAAATAAGAATTGACAAAATTCGTCCAATGAATTATAACCTTTGAAAACTGTTTCCTTATCGTTAAAATCATGGACCACACAGTAGTTTAACTCGTGAATTCCAGTTTCCTGATCTATCTCAAAATAAAACATTAAGTATTTATTTGACTAATCTTTGACTTTTTTATCCAGGAGAAAACATAAATAGTTGTTTAAGACACACGATTTACATCCTGCACATATGATTGTGCCACATCAATGAAATTCTGGATTACGTTTCTTTCTGTCAATAATAATAAAACAATTTTTACTTCAAATAAACAAAAATTAATATTTTCCTTTCAAGTGACATAAATATTGCAAGTTATAAAAGTTTATTAGAACAGATCAAAAACTTTACCATTTGCAATGTATATACAATTTATATACACATATTGACATTTATACCAAAATGATTAAGTTACTGAATTATCTGTCTATATAACGCTCAGGAATATTAATTTTCTACTTAATTAAGTAACATTACAGCTTTCGAAATATATGCTCTAACTGTATAGGTGGCGGCATCTAGTAACATTTATTAGTATTTCGTTTTGGAAAAATCCGGTTTTCATACATATTCTATGCTGCCTTAAATACTTTTGTATGTTATGTATTCTGTTGAAACCTATAATAAAGCAATGAATCACTTCAAAATTAATCAATTATTCTTTTAAAAGATGAATAACCGAAATGATATTTATGTTAACTGCGCAAATATGTTAGATATGTATTATAACATATCAGACAATGAGTCTGGACTTTATATGGTTATAAATATGCAATAGGTTTTACAAATGGGCAAAAAAACCTACACATTTCAGATTTCGATTTCAACACAATAGAAGGCGTAGAAACAAAGAAAAAATGACGTTTTTCCTGTTACTAAAATAGTCCTACATATGATGACAACAGAAATCGATATTTGGTCTTGAAAGTAATCATGACTCTTTTTTGTTGTAAGTTAACTTTTTATCCTGTGATAAGTTTGGTGCTTGGATCTTACATCTTTACTTATGTATCATCTTATCGGCCATGCCAGTTAATCATGAGGTCTTTACACTACTGATCAGCTTTGGCTTTTACTATACTGTATTTTTCATTTAGGTTAAGTTCGTACCTTATAGATTGATTCCCGACAATTGGCAGGCTTCAACTTTAATGTAACCCTATTGTAATTGTACTTCACGTTTTTTTTTATTACACTGCGACACTAGTTAAACTTCATAAACCTTCACGAACAAACATACAAAAAGAAACTAACCTTTATAATCAAGTCCATTTTAACTTTCTCAGATTTTGTTAATGATTGTTAGATACATGTAATGATTTGTCCGTGGCCTTAGAAATCAGTTTTCGTGAATTGAGTTTTGTTTATTTACTTGATGCTTTTTTTCTTTTTGCATTATGTAAGTAATTAGTTAAGAACTTTTGACTTACCCTTTCTATTTTAATGGACATATAGTGACCATGTTATTAATCAAAGAACGAAACACTAAAAGTCTCTTATTAGTACCCCCGAGGCTTGCTGCAGTGCGACAAACAATGCAAATGAAGTCGCCAAGTGACGCCTCTGACAAACTGTAATGATCTCTGATCTCACCAATAATCTCTGAATGGTACTTACTTTAATACATCATGAAAGTGATGACATAGGTAATAAAGAAATCAACAACCTGGCACAGAATATATCTTAAAGTACTTTCTGCCCTTCTCTGCACCCAATATTTTTAATAGACATATTATACTATCTCTTTCTTTATTTTAAGGTGGGTTAAGCTTTGGACAGACTATTTTTGACTTTGTCACGTGACTTAGTTTTCAATATTATACGATATTAACTAAGTAGGCTTTAAAGTAGATCCCAGTGAGACATTTAGATCTGTAAATAATCACGATATTTTTTGTATGGATTAACGACAGACTAACAAAGTCATAACAAACTTCATGCGATATGAAAGAGGGTAGCGTACACAGATATATGAGTGCAAAATGAAAGTGCCTGATAATGTTGTGATATTTTCAGGTAAAAACTGCTGATTTCCCTAAAGGTATCCGATAGACAGATCTGCAAATAGCTACAGGTTCGTTCAGGAAATAAGGAGAGTGGTTCTGATCAGATAACTGAGTTTTTCTAGTGTGTGTATGAAATAATGAGGCTTGTACAAAGTTGGAAAAAATGACAGTAATATTTATTTTAAAACAGACAAAAATAAAACGCAGCATATGTACAGTCTTGGCCGAAATGTTTGCATATTTTGTAACAAATAAGCTCATTATAAGATGAAATACAAACAAACTTAATGTTGTCAAACTGAGAAATGCATGATATATTAAACATCTATATGTGTAATTTATATAATGAGACAGGTTCTATGAACATCGTGAACGATTTATTAGAACAGCAATCAATTTTATCAGACACCTGTAGAAAGTTGTGTAATTCATGCTTCATCTATTCTAACAAACCCTTACCAAAACATATATAATGGCAAAGTATAACATCAAGTTATTATAAATAGCGTCTGTAACCTTATATCAGTTCATATTAAACATTCAGTACTTGGTTGGTCCTCTTCGAACTCTAATAACCTCCGCAAGGCGACGTGACATGCTGTCGATTAAATTATTGATGCAGTTCACCGTGATTTCATTCCAACTTGTCACTAGAAGGGGTTGAAACTCAACTACAGTAGCTGGTATAGGATCGTGGTTAGTAATTTTGCAGCTCAGTTCTGCCCAACAGTTCTCAATGGGATTACAATCTGGAGACTTTGCTGGCCATGGCAATACTTGTAACGTCCTCCTGGTCGAGGTAATCCTATACTATACGTGCACTGTGGGG